AGTTTTCAACAGTGAGTTTAGTTTCAGAGTGTGCAGGGTAGGTAGAATCCCCACTGAATCATTTTCATCTTGTCTACCCAGGTCTGGTGAAAGGAGATGGGAATAAGATTCTTATGATTCAATAGTGAGTAGTTGTTACCATGACTAATTGCGACTGTCACACTGTAAAGGTAGAAGTTTTGTAATAAAAAGGGGAAACAGTTAATCTTGCAGTCCAGGAACTATTAAGGGAGAAAAGCAAAAACAGAATGTGAGACCTTATCTAGAGAAGCAGCGACAACAGAGATGGAGGCAGAGATGGAGACATGGATAGAGGGAGCAGCTGAGGACTACAGACTCATGGAAAGAGCGGGACTGGGTGCTGGGAGCCAGGAGGCAGGCTTGCAGAATGAGCCCATTGGTTGTTTAAATGATTATAGATTCCTGAGTGTTTTGGTGTACATCCTCCCCAAAAAAACCAACAAATAAAACAGAGGGAATAGAAGCAAACAGTGTTGAATGATGATGCATGGAGGAGACTGTAATCATTGCAATGAAGCAATGAGTGTAAAACTGATGTTCTCCAATGTAAACTATCACTCAATACACAATAAACACTTTAAAAAAATTTAAAGGATGGAGATAAAGATGCTTTCTACTGTGAGCAGGTGTAAATTGCTACCACCTGATGAACTGGACCTTTGCTTATGGATGTAGCTGCTCATAATTTCACCCAGAATGGAAGGATTCTTCATATAAAGGAACAAGCTTGTTTCCTCAGTGCACTGGTTTGTTGTTGTTGTTAAGTGCCGTCGAGTTTGTTCCAACTTGTATAGGGTTTCTAAGGAGCAGCTGGTGGATTTGAACCCCTGACCTTTAAGTCCAGAACATTATCTTGCAGTGCCACACCAGGAGTCCAGAGGCGGGTAAGGTAGAATCCCCACTGAATAGCTTTCCTCTTCTCCAGGTAGATCTCTCTCTCTCTCCCCAACATCCCCCCCACACACACCTTTCATTGCTGCATTCTGCCACGCTTCCATTATCAAGTAGACCCAGGTGGTCACTATCAAGCCTAGTCGGCTGTCTGCTTGCCAACTTCCTTAAACTTCCAGTGCTAGATTGGGGTGTTTTCTGATGGGCTCCACCTTCTCCTGCCTCCATGCACCTAAAGGTAAATCACTTGCTCAAAATTCAAAATGCCTAACAGCTTTTGATTCCCTCTGCAAATCCCCCATTCACAGGTACCACTCTTCTTTCAGCAGTTTTGGGTGGGGCTCAAGGCCTCACCCAAACCCCTTACTCTACAAAAGCTGGTTTCTTCCAGGCAATTTCAAACTCTCGTTCTATCCAATCAAGTGTAGGTTGAAGGCAGATTTACAAGTTCCCTGTAATGGTGACAGTTAAATTCAGTCCACTTGGTCAGGCCTGGAGTCTGTGGATCCGCACTTCAGGTGCAACAAGTCCCCGAGATGAGAGCTAATATAATCACTGCTCCTAGGTGAGCGTAAGTCATTATCCTTATTTCTCTGATGTTCATGAGGTCGGATGTCATTCACAGGATTAGACTGTATCTTGAGTCAATCTCTTTTGAGATAAAAAATAAAAAAGGAAAGAGACATGTGAAGAATGAACCACTGCCACCAAGAAAGACGAGCCAGGAGTCGAGTGTGTCCTTTGGTCCCGGGGTCCCTGCACTGTGCAGACCCAGAAGACTGACACCAAGACACATGGAGACCTCCAAGGACTGCTGGTTCTGAAGCTGAAAGGACACAGGGACCTGTCTCCAGAGCCGGTGCTCGGAATTTGGACTCCAAGCTCCTAAGCAGTAGCCTTGGTGGCATAGTGGGTTACATGTTGTGTCTGTGGTTCAAATCCACCAGACGCTCCTCAGGAGGAAGATGAGGCTTTCTGCTCCCAGAGAGATGTACAGCCTCAGAGATCCCACAACAGGCTCTCTATGCGTCAGAAGCAACTTGATGGCACAAAAGAAGCTTCTGAAACATTGAGAATAAATCTGTTAGGGAAAGCTGTCTGTGTGTGGTATTTCTTTTATGGTGGCACTAGGGGAATGAGACAGTAATGATATCAATATTCATCTCTAGCCCACGCGTGCAGACAGCTTTGGACCTCTGACTGGCAGACTGGATCGTCCTTTTATTTCAGATAGGCCCTGGCTCCCTAATCGTCATCTTGTGTAACCAGCAAGGCTTTAGCCTCACGTAACTCCACTAGCAGGTCTTTTCCCTAGAGTTAGTTGCATTTCTTTCAGCCGTTACAGTTAACAATTGCCAAAGGAACCATCTTAGAATCCAGCTTTATGTCCCATATCCGTTTGTTCCTTCGCTTACAAAACCCCAGGCTTCCAGAGTCTGGAGACATTGGAATGAATCCCACTCCAGATGGCAACTGCAGAAAACAAGCACTGCCCAGACCCAGCAGCGCCCTCTCCTTGCAGTTGGGTCTGATAATAATACACCCACTTGTGGGGTTTGTTAGGGAAGTTTGTGGTTACAATTCAGGGTCAGAAGTGCTCGGAGCACAAGTCTTCCAATCAGGACAACTTCTATTCAGTTAGGTCCATAGGCAGGCCTCTCCCTGTCTAGGAAAGCTTTAGGGCCCACAGGCCCCACCTCCACCATGAGGGCGCTCACTCAGTCAATCTGCAGGTGGTGGTTATGAGCTGTGGGGTCCAATCCAACTCATAGTAACCCTGCCTAGGGTTTCAGAGGCACAGGGAGCAAAAAGGCTCATTTTTCTCCTGCAGAACCGCTGGTAGGTTTGAACTGCTGACCTTGGGGTTAGCAGCCCCACTCAGAACCACTCTGCTTCCAGAACTCCTTCAGTAAATCTTGCTCTCCCAACTAGGCAACCTTGTTTCCTGCCCACTCAGCTTTCTTGTTCTGTGAGCTAAGAAGCCCATCACTGTCAGGTGCGCTGGCTCCTGGTTCTGCTGCTGTCCCCGCCCCTCCTCGTGTCACAACTTTCTGTCTCTAGGTTGAGATCTTAGGGTCCGAAACATACTCTCGAATCCTGGATCTTCTGTGATAGTAGTGAGGCCTCCACCCACTTCCGAGATGGCTCATTTTATACACGTTGTTATCATTAATAAGTGCCATCAAGTTGGTTTGGACACACAGCTACTCTGTATAGGGTTTCCGGGAAGCGGCTGGTGAGCCTGAACTGCCAACCTTGCAGTTCAGTGCATTAACCCACAGCGCCACATCAGGACCCCGTTATAGAGTTCTAAGTTTTTGCAACTGTAATGAACTCTGCTGACTACTCACAAACCATATAATCCCATCAACATTTCCCACTTTCTCGTATCAAGACCCAGCACAGCAAACATCTGGCGGGAGTTTCAGACCGTGGCTACAGAAGACATTAAATAATCCATGGCACCACACAGGGTCAAGATGAGGGTACGTTAAGGGTGAAGATCAGTCATGGTATCGGTGAAGGTTGAGTTTCAGATCAGGGTCATAGAATCCAGGTTAAGGGTGGATTAAGATGTGAAGGTTAAGATTTAAATGACTCTGAAGTTCAGGGTCCAAGTCATGACAGGGCTCTACAATCAGGATGAAAGTCAAGGTTAAGGTTAGGGTCAGAATCAGGGCCAAGCTCTGGCGACATGGTCAGGGGATGCCTGGCTAAGAGGGTAAAGGTCAGGGTCTGGATAAGGCTCTGGGTGGAGGAGAGGATTCGTGAGAGCAGAGCTGAGAATCAGCTTCAGTGCCAGGGTCAAGGTTAGTGTCAGTCTTTGTGAAGTTCAAGGTCAGGATTAGAATAAGGGTGTTGAGTCAGGGTCAGGATGAGGCTAAATGTGAGGGTTACTGTCATGGTAAAGGCTAGCTTCCGGGTCAGGCTGGGGGCCAGCAATCCCTGTTCTACAAAACTCCTTCCCCCAAAGTACAAACTTTCTGAAATGTTCTCCCCTGATTTACCTGAATGCATACTATACCGCCTCACCAGAATGTGTCACTAAGGCAAAAACCTTGGAATGTTTTGCTCATTAATTAATCCCAAACACCTAAAGAGTGCCTGGCATACAGTTGTTGCTGTAAAATGCCATTGAGAAGGCTCCAACTTGTAACAATGCTATATAGGGTAACCACTGATCGCATGGTTAGTAGTCCAGTGCTTACCCTATAGTGCCTCACCAGACTCCTGGCAGAGCAGGTACTCATTAAGTGTAATGACTGGACGAGTATGTAACAATGTATTCCTAAAAAAATGGTGTATGTGGAAATACAACACAATACACTGTTGAAATTATAATGACCACAAAAGAGGCTTTCCACTTAAAGAGACTATAAAGCACTGGGTACTGGCAGCCAGGAGGCAGGCTTGCAGAATGTGCCCTTTGGTTGTTTAAATTATTATATATTCCTGAGTGTTTTTGTGTACATCTCCCCACCACGCCCCCTCCACAAAACGTAAAAAAAAGGGAACAGAAGCAAATACTGCTGAATGATGATGCACAGAGGAGACTGTTATCATTGCAGTGAAAAGATGAGTGTAAAGCCGACGTTCTCCCGCGTAAACGGTCACTCAATAAAGCACAGTGCCCCATACAGTACTTAGTGAAACATAAATGCAGCGGCATCAAGTGGATTCCAAGTCACAGCGATGCTGTAGGGCAGAGAACTGCTTAGGGTTCTGAGACTATGATCTTTATGGGAGCAGATAGCCTCGTCCCCCCTTGGAGAGGCTGGTGGGTCTGAATTTCAAACTTGTGATGAACAGTCTAATGTTTTACCCACTGCGCCACTACCTAAACTTCAGGCAACTCACAGCTTTCCTGGGAGCCCTGGAGCCTCCAGAAAAACCTTGGCTCTAGTTCGCTCACCTATAAACCAGTAGGGACCAAGTGAAAAGCAAGACAACATAGTGGTGTTTATTCACAGCAGCATTGGAAAGGGTGCCTCCATACTGTGCCAGGATTGATTTCTCACGCGTCCTTCCTTTCTCACACACATTTCTCTCCTCGTAGACCAAAACATACAGCGAAAGAGGGCAGCATCCTAGATGTACTTATATACCACCTTTGAGGGCACAGTTTGGAGATGCAGGCGCACAGGGCATTTGTAAAAATGGGACAGCAGAGTTTCACTATAGCCCACCAGAAAGTAGAACTTGTGGGCAGGCAGGTGCCTCAACACCAGGGCACAGATCTCAATCTGGTTAGCCCGGCGCTTTAGGACCAACTGGTCAGCCAGGCAGCCTGGGAAAGTGCCCAGCATGAACTTGCAGAGGAAGACATCCTCCACTGTTCGTTCCGCAGTGTGGTCCTCTCCATCCAAGTTACCTGAAAAGAGCACACCATCAATGAGTCCAGTTCCACTCATAGCAACATTGTGTAGTATGGGGTTTCTGAGGACCAGCTGTTGGGTTTGAACCACCAACCTTGTAGTTAACAATCCAGTTTGTTTCCTATAGCAACACACCAGGACTCCTGGCTGTCTTAAAACCTGCCAAATGTGCCGGGCAGTCAAACACCCCAACAGCTCCTCCTCTGCCCTACACGACTATTTTTCCCTTCTGCCGGTGAAATAATAGTAACACTTTATAGTTCACGGTCCACTATGTCACTAAATTCCCAAACCAACCCTGTGAAAAGGGCACTATCATTATCCTTGTTTTACAAAATGGAAGACCAAGGACTGAAGCCAGGGCACAAAACTCAAATGATCCCTCCGCATCTAGCCCCCTTTCCAAGCTTTGTTGTCTGCTTTATAGAAAAGCACTGATCATCCCGTGGGCCACAAACGAGTGTCACTAGCTACTTCTGAGATTAGGGACATAAGTGACCTCGGGAGCCAACCACTGCCTCATCAGTGGATTCTGACGTGGTCCAGGGCCCTTGGACTCCTTTTGTCTGATTTCTGTTAAATGATTCTCTATGACCACCTCAGATCGCAGAACCACAACTTCAAAGTGGATGGGGAACAGGAATCTATATTTTAAATTCTCTCTCCAGATGCATCTCAAACATCCATGCTGAGAATGCCCTTACTGAGCAATCTGGGCTGCTAACCGTCAAGTCAGCAGTTCAAATCCACCAGCCTCTCTGGGGAACAAAGATGAGGCTTTCTGCTCCAGCAAAAATTTATGGAAACCCTATACAGGGGCGACTAAATGGCACACAACCGTCACCAGCAGTACTTTATAGAGAATGGTTAAGTCCTCAGCTGCTAACCCAAAGTTAACAGTTGGATCCTTCTATACAACTCTGCGGGAGCAAAAAACCTAGCGATCCTCTCCCATATGGGTTGTTGTTGCTGTTGTTTAGTGCGGTCCAGTCAGTTCCGACTCACAGACCCCATATAGGGTCTCCCAGAAGTTGTTCAAACCAACTTTGCAGTCCAGCGCATTAACCCACAGCACCACACCAGGCCTCCCATAAAGATTACAGCCTAAAAAGAACCTAAGTGGTTGCTGTGTGCTGCCAAGCTGACTCCGATCTATAGCTAACCTATGTAGGCTTTCCGAGGAGCGGCTGGTGGATTTGAACCGCCTCCCTCACCATCACTAGTACAGTGCTTATCCTACAGCAACACACTATGGGGCAGTTCTGTCATCATATGGGGGCCGCTATGAATACAAATGGGCTCTGCAGCAACTGATGACAACAGAGAACGAAACACTGCAACATTCACAGCACACTGCGTGATCTCAAGCGACAGGGACTTAACTCCTTGCACTGCCTCACTGTTATTAATGACCTCTCTCTGTAAACTGCAGAGAACCGAGAAACATGCACAATAAGCTCACACACACACCCGAAATGGTGTTTTGCATTCGTTTTCAAAATGCATTGCGGTATACCGACTCTTTCCGGGTCTCTGCTTGGGGAACCAGTTTTGGGCTTTCTGATTTCCTCCTAACAACTAAGGCAAATGATGTTGAAGGAGAATATTGAAAGTGCCATGGGCTGCCAAAATAACCAATAGATCTATTTTGGAAGAAGTGCAGCCAGAGTGCTCCTTAGAGGTCAAGATGGCCAAACTTAGGACATATTGTCAGGAGGGACCAGTTGCTGGAGAAGGATATCATGTTTGGTAAGATCAGAGAAAAAGAGGAAGACCTCCAACAAGATGGATTGGCCAAGTGGCAGCATCAGTGGACTCAAGCATGGCAACAATTGTGAGGTTGGCCCAGATCTGGCAGTGTTTCGTTCTGCTGTGCATAAGGCTGTATGAATTCGATGGTGAAACAATACAGTTCCTTGTGAAAACTCAGAATCTCTAAAACCAGCATAATTTCCCTGGCCTTGAGGCATATAGGGCAAAAACAAGCCTCACAGGTGGTGTTTACTGTGTGATTACGAATCCCAGACATTCTTTAGAGTACTTAATTTAACTATGTGCCTTAAGGACCCTTGCACCATTATAACTGATTTATAGTCTTGTTATTAGAACTCGTGCAGTCACACGTGACCCTGTTATTGTTATCTAGTTTTCCTGTGAGCAAACTAATCCACCATTTTTGCTTCTATATTCCCTGCTTCAGCAAATTCCTTTAGCTAAGCCCCTAGATCCCGAGCCAAAAATGTAGCATATATAAACTAGCAGCCATTTCCCTACCGCACAGCAGCAGACTTAGGAGAATCTGTTGTCTCCCTGCTGTCCGGCTATAGCTGTGCCAATAAAATTCTCTAAATTGGACATTATAGTGGTCATCATCCTTATTTGGGATTCGAACCCGTAACAATGGCACCTAACAACAACAACTACTGAGTCAAATGGAGTCCTGGTGTGGCTCTGTGGGTTAATGCGCCAGGCTGTAAAGCCGTTTGAACTGCAAGGTCTGAAGCTCAAGTTCACCAGCTACTCCTTGGAAACCCTATACCGGGTTGCTATGGCTCGGAATCGACTCGACCGCACTTAACAACAATTGAGTCGGTTGACACACGTTTGATTGCGGTTTGCAGGAGTCATGCGTGAACTGGTGCTTTCACACACTGACGCAGAGAGCGCTCCTTTCCTGAGCCCACCCACATCCCTCCACCAGCCTCACCTGTGTGCAGAGACAGCCAGCCTTTGCGATGCGCGATGTAATGTGGGGCGTGCGCCTCCTCGTAGGTCACCGGCTTGTCCCCCTTGCTCACACGCACTCTGGCAGACCGGTTCTGAAAGCAGAGGAGCCGTGACCGCCGCCGACCCGCCCATCCCGACAGGCCCCGCCCACCCCACCGGCGCGCGCCCGCCTGGCCCCACTTTCCGCACGCTCTCACCTTAGTGCAGGCCGCGGAGGTGTGCAGAGCGCGGTAGGCGCACAGGTGCCTCAGGTTCCCGGCCAGAACCTGTGGGGGAAGGGGCGTAAGGCTGAAGGCGGGCCCAGCGTCCCCGCGGCCCAGCTCCGCAGCCTCTTCCCGTGTCGCCCACTCACCCTCATCGCTCCAGCCCTGGAGAGCACAGGCACCGCCATCTTGGGCCCAGTGGGAGGGGACAGTGGGCGGGACGAGGACAGTGGGCGTAAGGATAGACGCCAATCCCGGGCGTCTGTGAACTCGGAGAAGTGGAAGTTGCGACTGCGCTGTGGAGAGCCGGGGACATTTCTTCGCTGGCCTTCGGCTCCGGACCGGTCTGCTCCGTCTGGCACGGAGTTGCATCGGGTTTTTATATCCGGAAATCATAATGCAAAAAATAAGGGTTCGCCCTCAAAAGGCTAGCGTGAAGGACGTTCTGAAGAGAGAAGGGTTAAGAGAAAAAAAGGTCGCGGCGCCTCCCAAGCCCTCGGGACCTGGCAGGGAGGAGGATTTTTCCAGTTCTTAGAAATTAAGCCCCTGAGCTCTGCGCTTTTGAGACAACATATTAGATAAACCTAGGCTGGGTCTTCCCATCTCCAAATAATATTAATAATAAAAAATCCGCGCTTTGATCTAATAATGTTTTGGAAAAAGTTTTACCCAATTTTTTCAGTGATGACTTATGGAGGGGGTAGCGTCTGGGAACATTGACCATATAACCCCAGCGGTTTGCTGGGCTGTGGGGAAGAGAAAGTTAAATGGCAAAGGCTGGAGAACAAGGGGATATTGTTTCTGTAATAATCAAGACAGAGCCTTGCTACTTAAGTGATATCCAGTAATAATGCAAGAACTGGGATGGCAACGTAGATAAGCACGGGACTGCTAACTGCAAGGTGGACAGTTCAAATCCACCAGTTGCTCCTTAGAAACCATCTACAGGGTCGCTTTGAGTTGGAACCTAACAATGCAAGAAGCACTAGGGATGCTAATCAAAAGGTCCACGGTTCCAACCCACCAACCTTTACATCGGATAAAGATATGACAGTCTGCCTTGTAAACCCTATGGGGCAGTTGTGCTGTGTCCAGTGAGGTCACTGAGTCACAACCTACTGGAAAGAAATTTTGTTGTTAAGTGCCATCGAGTTCATTCTGACCCATAGCGACGCTGTATAGGGTTTCCAAGGAGCAGCTGGTGAGCTTGAACCGCTGACCTTGTAGTTCAAACGACTTTGCAGTCTGACGCATTAACGCACAGCGCCACACCAGGACTCACTGGAAAGCCAAAGGTGTGGTTTTTCATTTAATTATTAATGTCAGCGGGAAAAATAGCAACACCAGAGATCATCCTTCCTCGGAGATCATCCTTCAGAAAGACGTTAATGGGAAAAGCATGGGCTGTATACTCAGGTCCAACTGTAACAATCGGGGTGAACTCTTAGTTCCCTTATCTGTAAAATGGGCTTTACCTACCTTACACAGCTGTTCAAGAGAAAGTATTTAACAAACGATACGTATTCTAGGACTCCTGGTGTGCTCTTTAAGATCAGCACTGGATTTTTAACCATTAAGGTCAGCACTTCAAACCCACCAGCTGCTCATCGGAAACCCTGTACAGGGTCGCTATGAGTAAGAACTGACTCCAAAGCATTTAACAAGAACAACTTCCATTTATTTGTGTTTTGATGCGTTTTGTTTCTCCCGACGATTCTGCAGATAGGTAGTATTACCCAGGTATTACAGATTATAAACTGGAGACTCAGAAACATCCCTGAGGGTACAGAATTAGGGAAGGAGATCTGGTGGCACAGTGGCTCACACATTGGACTGCTAACTGCAAGGTCAGCAGTTTGGATCCACCAGTTGCTTTGTGGGAGAAAGATGGTTTCCTGCTCCCATAAAGATCTGTAGCTTCGGAAACCCTATACAGGATCGCCGGGAGTCAGAATCAGCTCGACAGCACACAACCATCACCACCACAGTTAGGAAACGGTCCAGTCTTGTTCCAAATCACGTACTCCTTCCACTTCTGATGCTCCAATGCATTACTGGAATGGGGAGGTGGGGATCCAGAATGATGGTAGGATGGGGGTGGCCTGGGTCTCTGTGGCTGGGAGCAGACCACTCCAGACTGGACCTGCAGCTGCCAAATATCTGGGGCTAAGTCCCCTGATACAGGGCCCCCATACCCCTGCTGGGGAGTTTGTGAAGGAGACAGATATGAAGTGGCTCTTACTCAGATAGGAGCCTCTTCACTCTCCATAATCAGAAAAGCCAGGCGTCACTTCTGTGCTCCGAAACCAGCGGTTCTACCTCTAACTCCATTTTGTACTTAAAGAACTTTAAAAAATGCCTGGTGCTCAGGGCCCACACAAGAAGGTCACTATGGGTCAGAACCAACTCCATGGCACTTTACAACAGCCAGAGTTGGCTGGCCTGCAGCACGAAAACACTGAAGGGGATTCCTCTGGGGCCACCAGTGTTTCCAGAGCAGAGTGCAGCCTTGAGAACGATGTCTAAGTGGTGTGAGAAGGGAGGCAGGCAGGCACCTGTAATGGGCAGGAAGCTATCAAGAGCATCACCAGAGACTTTTACTGTGAACAGTTCCTCACAGTCCAGCCTCTAGGGAGGAGTGACGCCTGCCTTCTGCTGGCCAGTAGGGTTAGTTAGCCGAGAAGATCTAGCTGGCTTTCTTGACAAAGTATGAGTCATGCTAACTTTTAAGTTTTGTATATCCATGTCTTTTAGATTCATTTTCTCCTAATAACCAACCCATTCACCACAAAGATTCCCAGAGGCTCTCAGCTGTATTTTGGGAAACAATCCACCAACTGCTAGCATCCTGTGAGTTGAAGAAGAAAGGTGTCACACACAGGCTACCAAAGTCACTCTCAGCACGTTCACACTCTGAGTTCAGGCTTGTTCTCTCACCCCCATCCTCCCTCTGCTAAGGTGCAGGAAAAGGAGATGGTGCAGCAGGCAAAGGTTAGGCTCCTACCTGAAAATCCACCAAGTGTAATTATGGAACTCAGTTTGGGCCCACGTTTTGTTTTACTTAGAGACAGGGACCCTGGGGCAGTCCTCTATCAGACAAATTGTTGTTGTTAAGTGCCACCAAGTCAGTTCCAACCCCTAGCATCCTTGCATAGGGTTTCCGAGGAACAGCTAGTGAGCTTGTACCACTGACCTTGCAGTTCAAACTGACTTTGCAGTCCAGCGTATTAGCCCACAGTGCCACACCAGGACTCCATCAGACACAGGAAATGTCAGAACCCAAGAGGTCAAACCAGGGAGGAGTAGATAGTCAGGAATCTACAGGAAGGAAGGCCTCGTGGTAAACTGGCAAGTACCAGCTGCTCTCCCTTCTTTCTACAGTCTTCACCTGGACACAAGAATGAGTGAGTCACCTTGTCTCTCTCCAGGAGCTCTAACTGGTAGGATAGAAAATGAACAATTAAATGGTACAAAAATCTTCATGGGAGCTCATAAAAGGACCCATTATAATCCTCCTCAAATTGGGTGTCTAGAAGTGAGGCTGGCATCAGAGAGGTGGTGCTGAGAAAGAAATTGTGCACCAAGCCATAAAGAAGAGCAGGGTTCACCAAGGCCAAGGAAAGCAGAAGGCTGCTAGAAACTAGGAATACAGACGTGCAGAATGTGGGTGCTGGGGCTGAGAGGTGGAAAGTCAGGAAACCAGTTCAGATAATTGGGTCTCTGCAGTCCTGACTCATGGTGTTGAGGAAACCTCAGGAAGTTAGGAAAGGTTTACAGCTAACGTTTTTTCCTACTTACTCTGAAAACGACAATGGATTTTGTCTTTTCATGGGCTAGTTTACTATTTCTGAGGAACTTGAGATAGCTTTACATTGGTAAGGAGTTCTCATACCAGCCTTCTAAGTACTATGTTTCAGTAAATTGAAGGTAACATTGAATAGATGTGCCACTGTTTTATATATCATTAAGAAAAACGGCTGCAGATTAATTTGAAGATTGACTATGAGTCATAAATATGTCATATCACAACATGATGAAATACAATTAAAACCCAACTGTGCTCCTTAGAATTAATCAAACGTAGGAGAGTAGAGATAGGTGCAGTGGTGGGATGTTTCCTTGGTGTAAAAAAAGTAGTCAACACTGCTCATCGCTGACCTGCTGGTGCCAGTTCTACTCACAAGTGGTCTTCTCCAACACCAACCTTTGCTGGGGCACTCACTCTGGGGTAAACACTGTGAAGGCTCTTTCCTTTCCTAAGCAGGTACAAGTAAGAGGAACTAAGTCTTAGAGAAGTGAAGTAACTTTGCTCAAGGGTCATGTAGTTCCCACTGCCACTGAACTGATTCCAACTCATGTGTTGTTGTTAGGAGCCATGGAGTTGGTCCCAACTCACAGCAACTCTACGCACAATAGAACGAAAAACTACCGGATCCTGCACCATCCACACAATAGGTGTTACGCTTGAGCCCATTGCTGCTGCCATTGTGCCAATCCATCTTGTTGGGGATCTTCCTCTTTTTCGCTAACCTTCCACTTTACCGTGAGTCCTGACATGGCACTGTAGGATAAGTACTCAACCCTAAGGTTGGTTTGGACCACAAGGTCGTTACAAAGTCTTACCATCCTGGCTTCTAAGGTGCACTCCAGCTGTACTTCTTCCAGCACAGACCTGTTTGTTTCATGGTACTTTCAAAGCCACAATACTCTAATATCACAACTCAAATGTATCAATTCTATGGTATTGAAAATACCAGGACTTGGATCAGGCACACTTTAGTACTCAAACTAATACCTTTGCTCTTGAACACTTTAAAGACATCCTGTGCAGCAGATGTGCCTAATGCAATATGTTGCTTGATTTCTTGACTACTTCTTCCATGAATGTTGATTGTAGAGCCAAGCAAAATGAAGTCTTTGAAAACATCAATCGTTTCTCTATTTATCATGGTATTTATTGGTCCAATTGTCAGGATTTTTGTTTTCTTTACATTAAGGTTCACTCCATATCTGCAGTCTTTGATCTTCATCAGTAAGTATTTTAAGCCTTCTTCAATTTCTGCAAGCAAAGTTTTATCTGCATACCGCAGGTTGTTACTAAGTCTTCCTCCATTCCTGATGCCATGTTCTTCTTCATCTAGTCCAGCGTTGGACTGTTTACTCAGCATACAGATTGAATAAGTACAGTCAAAGAATACAACCTGTTTACCAACAGGTTCCTCAAGCACAATGAAATGTTCTGGAATACCAATTCTTTACAATATTATCCATAGTTTATTATGAGCCACAGAGTTAAAAGCCTTCACATAGTCAATAAAGCACAAGTGAACATCTTTCTAGCATTCTCTGCTTTCAGCCAAATTCCATCTGAT